CATCCTGCCTTGGAGCCAGCTTAGTATGGACTGAAACTTCCACAAGCTGTGAGCTTAATAAACTTTTCCTTCTTTAATTTTGGGGGCCAGGTATTTTGTCCCAGCAACCAGAAAAAACTGACCAAGACAGAATTTGGTACCAGGAGTGGGGTCATTGCTGTGACTATACTTGATCATGTGGCGGAAGAGCCTTTGGGAATGGCTTATGGTAAGAGAATGGAAAGGTTTGGAGATGTCACCTGAAAGAGTACAGCTGGAACATCCTAGGCTGCTCAGTATGGGAGATTCTGGTCAGAGCTCAAAGGACCAGAAAACTGGTAAAGACCAGGTTTGGGATGTTTCTGTGGGAAACAATGGATTGCATTGGCTGCTGGACTCCAGAAAATGTATGTTATGGCTTGGCAGAAAGTTTGTCTGTATTTTGTCTGTGTTTAGAGACTTTGCCTGAGATTGAGGTTAAGGGTCGCAAACTAATTAATCTGGCAGAAGAAATTTCAAGGCAGTCAAATGTTGATGATGTGGCATGGCTGCTGTTGGGGGCTTTTAGCCAGATCTATATTGAGAATAAAGAGCAAAGAGCCCAGAAGGATGATTTAAAATGTTGTCAGTTTGTCCAGAAGTGAAACTTCAGTAAAGCTGTGGACTGCAAAGATAAAGCAGAAGAGATCTTGATTGCTGAGAAGAACAGGACATTAGAAAAGCAAGTCTCCATCCTTTGCAGCCTCAAAACTGCCAAGGTAAATTATTACTTTGCTTTGAGGAGAAAGCTGTAGAGCACCATGTTCCAGAATGGCAGTAACAAAGAATTTGTTCCTCAGAATTGGATTCAGAGTGCCTACTGATCCAGGCTCTTGACCCCTACAGCCAAGAGAGAGGGAAGCCTGGCTACTGTTCCAGCTGGCAGCAGACCTTGGCTGCATCCACATGTTCCTGGTTTTAGGTGCATGGAGAATGCAAAATTTGTGGGGTTAGGAATGCTTCCACTCTGACTTGAGAAAGCCTAGGAGACCAGGCAGTGTGCCCCAAAAGAGCAATGTGTGAAGCTATGAGACTGAAGCCAGAGGTGCAATGGAGACTCCAGAAGTTTGGAAAAGCCAGGAATGTGGATTATCTAAGGAAAGCTGCAAGGAGGAAGTAAAGCAGGCCTACAAGAGAAGCCGTGGGAGCTACAATCACCAGAAGTGCCTTAGGGGTGGAGCTGCTCAAACCCTTTGGAGCTCACAACTTGTCATGGACTCCCTTAGATGCTGGCTATAAAACTACAGGACTTAATGTTAGCCCAGCTGGATTTTGGACTTGCTTTGGCCCCAGTCCTTTGTATCCCCCTGTTTGTAACTTTTGGAATGAAAATGTTCATCCAGTGTCATTGAATGTTGGAAGTGTTTACCTTGTCATTTGTACAGGGGCCTGCAGCTAAGAGTTTGCCTTACATCTTGGAGGAGACTTGGGACTTGGACTTTTCAGCGAGGCTGAAACTGTTAGGACTGTTGCAACTGTTGCAGATGGACAAAATGCCTTTTGCACAAAGGGATGTGCATTAGTTTGGGGGGGGGCAGGGGCAGAATGTTATGGTTCTAATGTAATATAATGTTGACAGAATTAATACTGGCTCTTAAGGATTGTTAAACCTGTGTCATAATGTTCAAGTTGTGAAATGATAAGAATAAGTATGTCTTTGTATCTGGAGACTGGTTTAAAGAAATGTGTCCAGTTGCTAAGTTGACAAGGGATGGATTGTAATGGTGGATACATTGTGTTGATGTGAGAAGTTTAGAAGTTTAACTAAGTGACTCAGCAGGGGGCCAATGTCCTCACTTTGTTAACAACTTGAACCTGTGTAAGTGGAGGGCATGGAGATTGCGTGAGTGCCACACCTCCCTAGGATAGAGAGTTTGCATACACCATAAGGTAGGAAAAGATGTTTGTTCTCTCTTCCTTCTTGCATTAAATGTTTTTGCTGCCCTCTGCCACATTGCTGCCCCTCACCATGCCACTTGGTGTTGAAGCCAGTCAATCATGAACTAAAACCTCCACAAACTACGAGCTGAATAAATCTTTCCTTCTTTAATTTTGGAGGTCTGGTGTTTTGTCCCAGCAACCAGAGAAAACTAACCAATACACCACTGTTCTTTCTTTTTTCAGAAATCTTCCCACTTTGGCCAACAGCCCTTTGATAAACTCATTTTTCTTCTTTAAAACCCAGAAGTATCTATCTATCTATCTATCTATCTATCTATCTATCTATCTATCCATCTATCTATATTTAATCTGTGATCATTGCACACTGTTATCAGTTACTGATTTACAAGCCTACCACTCATTCTCACGAGCACATACTAAATCACCTTAGATGAAATTTTACTCCAAGTATCCAGCTTAGGCTAGCATCAAATCTATACATTCATGAAAATCATTACTAATTTTAGCTTTCCTAATAAAACTATTAAACTAAATGTACAAATTCTGTATAACAAGGATTCCCAAGTTGCTGTGACAGATGCTGGATTTGGAGTTTGTTTGACATTAGGAAGATGAGGGAGAAGAAATATATATTGCCATTTGAGTTGGAATGAATGGACAGTGAACCACAAACTAGCAGAGGCTAGTAGTATTATCAAGAAGGGAAGGGTGGACCCGGTATATCGGGTCTTTTCAGCAGACATTCTAACGTCTGTGTGGATCTTTCACTGCTAGTAGATAGACCTGTTTGTTGTTGTTTTGAGGCCACAGACAGCGGAATGGCACCAAACATTATCAGACATGTCTCTGTGACAGGCTGACCTATAGTAAAATTGAGTAGAAAGTCAAATAGTTTCAGATACAGCTGAATGGCTTGAGAAAGATCTAATCAAAGAGAGCTGTGAGACCAGAACACACGATTAGTGCCATGAAAATTGAATACCTCAAACTGGGTCCTCACTTAAAAAAAAAAAAAATAGAGCAGTAAACCAGACATCGTGATGATAAGGCCTCAAGTGGCTGGGGGGATCAGAGGTAGGAATGTGTTTAGACAAAACAAAGCAGCACTCCCTCACTGCAGGATTCAGAGAGCAGAGAAGCAGGGCTCATTTGAGGGAAAATAACCGACTTGACCACTCTGGCCAAACCAACTGGCCCCACCTATAGGTAACTGGAGAAATCTTTACTAAAAACAGAACCAAAATCAAACAACAACAGAAAAGTTCCTACTAAAAATAGACTTGAGGCCTGGTGTGGTGGCACATGCCTGTAATCCCAGCACTTGGGAGGCTGAGGCAGGAGGATCCTTGCAAGTTCGAGACCAGCCTGGGCTACAAAGTGAGCTCAAGGACAGCCTGAACTGCATAGCTAGACCCTGTCTCAAAAATACAAAAATAAATAAATAAATAAATAAATAAAAATAAAAATAAAAATAGACTTGGACTGGATTATTAGAAACCAGATTTTTCAGATAAAAAAATAAAAAAAAATAACTTGTTTACATCATGAATAATTATTTTTGGTGTAGCAATTTAAGATTTTAACTTGTTTTTAGAGCATGAATCTTCTACATTGTAAAGTTTCGAATTCTCAGCTAGTGACTTAATTTCAGTAAAGGTCAAAAGTCCAACCAACAAATACAAAGACATGTACTTCTGGATCAGAGGAAAAGTATACATGATTATTAAAGATTAGTCTTGCACAACCACTAGTCAAAGTATCTGCATTCTCAGTGGTCAGAAATTGTGTGATAAATAAATGTGAACAAGGTGGAAGAAAGACTTTTGATTTTAAAATGTGTTATTGGTAATGTACTAAGTTCATGATCTGGATCTATGATCAAAGGGTTTATAGGACTGAAGTTCCTCCTGAGAGTCTATGACAAATACGGGAACAGCCTTCAAGATTTCTTGTGGTCATTCTGTCTCTCACTTACATTGCCTAGCATGGAGAAAAGCACCTCTTATGTGATCAAAATTTATGGAAGAAATGAGTTAAATGAATAAAGAGAGTGTAAGTTGTATTATATAACGCATGCTACAATAATGATACATCATGTCTGCATCTTACACAAAGTAAAGCTGAATTCACTCGAATAACTCCGGACTGATAAACACCAGTACCTGGTAGCTCATTGAAACAGTAAAGCAAAACTAACCACCTACAAAGTAAATTTTATCATGGGGAGGAACATATGAATGACCCTGATTACTTGTCAATACAGAAAGATGTTGAGTGCAGGCATTTTCTCTCTCCCCTCTGGATTAGCAATCAGATTCACCTGAAGATCACTGATTCACAAACAGCATTATACACTTACTTTGAATTTTCAAGTAGCCAGAACTTCGTAAGTGTTTATGTTATAAGCACACTCAGCTACTTCTCTTTTTCTGCAGTGTGGTGTTCCCCTGATTTTAATCCTGACAGGAATCAAGAATTTACTTCATGACTACTGTTCCTTCATCAATATTTTTTTTAAATTAAGAAAAGCATTTGTATCCTTCCAGCGACTTAGAATAATTTGAATGGAAAATGCATGCACGTAAGTTCAACTGTATTCATTTTCTATGCAGTGCAAAGATTAATTTTACTTTTGTAAGAAAAATATGTGTACAAGTTGAGGTGACTCAGCTAAGAAATACCTGCTCTGATTTCTATGCCTTGATTCACATCTAAACAGAAGTCTCATAAAAAAAATGCAGACAAAAGTCTATCTTGTTCAAGAGAAACTTGCTTAAGTTTTCAACATTCATTTAATAACAAACGTGTAGAATTTAAAATGGTTAGGATAGAGCTGAAAGGCAAAGTTCACGAGTAGCTGAAAAATCCCCTTAGAATTTTGCCGTTAGCTAGAGAGCTATCTGTAGACTTCATCCGAATGATAAATGAGTAAACAAAATCAAAATAAAATAAAACAGAAGCAACACCTCCTTCACTTTAATTGTCAAATGAATGTCTCCTAGAAATGAACCATTTTATTTGCTGCTAAGCAACCAGGGTTTCTTGGCCAGGCTGTTGTTTCCCGTCTGTGTTCCCCTTACCTGATGGGAGCACCCTTGGCTTGCGCTGGTCTTAGCAACACGGTTATCGTGGTTGCAGTTTCATTAAGAGAGGCATCAATTCCTTCATAGTCAGGTAAAGTTGGAGCTGTTAAAGGACCAATGGAACAACAAAAAAGGTTTAATTAATTACAGCAATCCATCATGGGCCAGTGTGAATAAATGATCCTGATTTAAGGAAAAGTCAATTTAATCCCTAATTATCTACTGTGTATCCTACTTTACAGCATAACATGAACCATTACACCCTAACCACAGGAATCTAAAGCATAGGCAGTCAGAAAGGCAAAATCGCTGTGGAAATTTCAAAAATAGCCTGGTGATTTGTGGTACACAGTCTAAATATTTCAGTCAGAATGCTTTTGCTTTTCATTTTCTGACTTTTAAATCAATAAGGAAAAGGAAAGGATGGGAAGAAAGTGGTAACAGCAGACTGGGGAATAGTCCGTGTTTGTGGGATGACATGTGGAGCTACAAACCCACATTGAAAGTGTGAATGACAGTAGCTGAGGTGAAGGCTGCTTACTGAGACGGGACCAAGTACGCTGTGAAGTTTGTAGAAAGATGAGATTGTTCTTGGATCATTTTCATCACTGTGATCATCATGAAGCTCATCAAGCAAGTGCAACGAATGGGGATAGGAATTTTGGTTTTTATTTATCAAGAAATAACACAGCAGTTGTTGCAAGCTTGAAAAGAATGTATGCACTCAGTGGATGATACCAGCTCAGGACTGAGGATCCCTCCTTGTGAGGTGTGTGAAGCAGTCAACTTCAAGCAGCTTTTGATTATTTCTATGTAGAAAGAGCATCAATAAGTGAATCACTAGTGAGATGTGTAACTCATGAGATGTATATCTGTGAGATGTTAGCATGTCAGCAGAAAACATCTGAGAGCAAGTGACACATAATAGTTTTTGAGGAATTTCATTCATTGATTGAACATTTACTGAATACACAGTATGTACAGTTTTATGACAAGCGCCATAAATTAAAAAACCAAAGCACGGTCTCTGACATTTATAGAATTAAAACTATGAATTAATGTTTTATGCAATGTGGGAATCTTATAAACAACAAAAATATATCATGAACTGTTAAATGGTCAAGGGGAAATATGGTTCACGTGCCAAAACAGTGGATCTCACAGTCACTAGGTCCGAAGAACCGGGAAGGCTTCTCACATTCCAGACTACTGCCCTGTCCTGCAGTTACTGATTCAGCAGGCCTGCGAAGGGACCAGAACATGTGCATTTCTGGAAAGTTCCCAAGTTACTCTGCGGCTGCTTGGAGGACCATAGTTTTTAAAACTGTGTCAGAGATGGGACAATGACACGGGGAAGACTTCAGGGTTTAGATGGTGTTGGAGATGAATCTTGAAAACAAGACTAAACATTCAGCAAGAAGAGATTCCATGGATTGGCATTCCAGTGCGAGGAAAGAGAATATTTGAAGAAGATGCCGACACCTGGAGGGCATGGTGAATTTCTACAGTGGCGAGCAGCTTTCTCTACCTGGACTTGGGGTGAAGGGGGGACTAGTGTGAGAGGAGCCCTTCCATGCAGGGCTACAGATTCTGGTCAGGAGTGAGGGGATCCTCTCTGACTGGTGCTACGTATGAGATTTTGAAAATATTTCAGTAGGGAATGTATGTTGAATGAAATTTAATAGAAAAAGATTTCAAAGAAAGGTAATTTCAAAGGCAGAGATACCACTTAGAAAGATACTTCAATTCTTTAATAGAAAGGGTCTGAATGGAAAAAAAACCAGGAACAGTGACATAAAGAGAAAGAGGCGTAAAGGGATGAATTACTAATTGAGGGTTATTTTTAGACAGAATCAACTATTAGAATACATGCAATATTTGTACACATGAATGTACGTGTGTATACATATCAACACACATATTAATGCTTCCCACCATTACAAATCCAGTAACTTGATTTTACTTTTATTTTCATTGCTTAACAAATGTTGGGGGATATAATTACTAGATTCAAAGAATAAATAAGAGCAAATTATTTTAAAATTTTAAGTGATGTGGAGAAACACAGTAACCATATTTATTATTGGCCTTGCAATGATTACTGATTTTTCCCAACATAGAATGGCAAGAACTAAGTTTGTAAAGTAGAATAAAGTCTTTACTGTGTGACCATGACATAAGTGAAACTGGATTTAAATAAGTGAAAGAAAAAATTAGATGGGTGTTTTTGTTTTTGATTGCAAAGTTTTTGATCAGCACAACTCCGTATCTGAGATTTGAAAAATTCTATATGCAACTCTCAGGAATGTGCACTTGTCTAATATTTTTAGTTTTACAAGTTTACATAAACTTTGAGCTACCTCTAAGGAACAATTTTACTCTATTTTGACACAAGTTCTAATTCTAGAGGGCAAGAAACATCTCTCTGTACATCATAACATCAGAAAGTCTTGTTTTCCAATAAAATGATACACTAAATATTTTAAATTGGTGATTAAAAATTGTCCCATCTGAAAATATAATGGAAATTTTAATACATTGTTATTGTCTAAGATAACGGATGCTGTTCTAAAAGGCTCACTTTATTAGACTATTAAGATAAATCAAATGTTACTCAAGAGAACATTTTGGAATTGGAAATTTTATTTATGATATAAATTATTAAAGTTTGCATTACATGCAGCACATTTTCAAATAAAATTTTAGACTGAAAGCAATTTAGAGAGTGTGCATCTTCCTTTTCATGGAAATGTTACAGATCTGGAACAATGTTAAGAATTTTAAGAATTTTGATGTATCACTAATATATGGCATCTATAGTTAGGGTGAGCAGGAGCATAAATGTTCTAAAGGAATTCACAAAGACAGAATCAGTATTTTATCATATTATGTAGCTTGCTTTAAAATATTTATTTTAAAATTTAAAACTTTGAGTATATCCATAACATATACTTTAGATTAATGACATATTACAATGTTACTTCCTAGAAAGAATTTAATCAGGTTTAAGTGACAGTTATACTGAAGGACAAACAAAACCTGCAAACAAGCTAGTCAAAAAGAACAGAGGGAAAAAGTGGAAACAAAGCTTCTGTAAATAAGGAGGGAAAGAGGGGTTGAAGAGAGGAGATGGGAATGGAAAAAAAAGAAGAAGCAAAATATACCACGTACAGGTACAAATTGCCTATAATGAAGTGATCATTAGGTACAGCTAAAATGGGCCCACAAAATAAAATTTAAAAAAAAAGGAAAAAAGAAAGAATTGGGGAAAAAAAAGTTGCCTCAATTCCTACCTCCCTATTTAAAAAAAAAAAAATGCAAGCTATAAAAATGTGAACATGATGAATGTGAAATTTAATTATATTTGTTTGTCAACTTAACTTCTCCTGTCTGTTGCCATTCCGGAATTTAGATGCATTTATGTGAGATTTTGAATTAAACAATGAAAGCTTGTGTTTGTTTAAATTGTAAGAATGTTAGGGAAATGGGACAAAGACGAGGCCTATGTTCCTCTCATACCAGAGCAAAGTTCCTTTACTGCTCTTTTGATAAAACCCATCTAGAGACCCGATTCCATAATAATTACCAATTCCTCAAAAGTATAATGATACCTATCATCACTCATAATGAACTTCGAAAGATTTTTAATTATATGTTGTAATTTTTAAAAAGAGCACTGTCAATTAAAGGCGATGATTTGAGAAGTGTTTGTGTTTAGACATATAACTAATAATTCGCATTTCAATGATTTTTTCAAGTGCTTTCAATCATACATGAGGACGTTAAAGGTTCACTGAGCAGGACGAGTAGCACACAGTGTATACGGGAACCGCAGCACATGCTACTGCCAACAGGGGGAGCCTCAGGCCCCTCCGCCCACACACCTGAGATGTTGGTGGTCACGTTGATGGCCGTGGCTGGCCCGAAGCCTTTGACCGTGCTGGCTCTGATGAAGAACTGGTAGGTGGTTCCTGGGTGGAGATGCATGAAGACGTGGTGCGTACTATTCCACAGGTTTGACACGGTCTGGGGAGGGCCGGCCACGGGCACTGCAGGATCGAAGGATCTTATGCTGCTGTAGCTGACCTGTGTGAAGAAATACGGTAGGTATCCACACTGAGTTCCAAGAAATTACGAATTCTTTGCAAATAACGTAGTGTGAAGAGCATCCCTGTGGAGTCTATCAGAATTTTTTCATTCTTCCTTATTTTGATATGATTGTTCCTTCCACTCTGCATTCCTATCTATCTATCTATCATCTATCTATCTACCTATCACCTATCAATGTCATCTTTCCATCTACAGATACACATATATTTATATCTGAATTGAAAAACACACATGCATTTTCTTTCATCAAAGATAACAGAATTAATATACTGAAGATGTATGTATACATACAAAATTTTATGGCTTTATGTTTTAATGTGTAAAATAAAGGGTTTGACAAATGTTTATTTACATTGTTCAATATCTGGCCAAGAGACATAACAAATTCTGTGAAAGTAACATTCACATCTGCAGTCATAGTCACTATATAACAGGGCACCAGTAAGTCCCAATCTCACGGTTCGCTCTGCAGCCACTAGAACTCAAAACTTTAAGCGATAATTAACGTTGACTGCAGGAACAGAACAACCCATTTATGCAATTGAAATCATCCTTTCTTCTTTTAATATTTGAAAATATAGCAATTTATCCTTAAAATTGCAATGAGGTTTTGAACTTTGTTTATATTCTAATTTGCTGCTGTCAGTAGTAATTCTGTACTCTGAAACAATTGGCAGTAGCCTCTCCTAAAAGACACTGTGCGGACAGCCTCAAACATTTATAAAAAGGAAAATGAGGGTTTTTCTTATGACTGTTCATTGTGATCATTACTAAGCCAGTTTGACCGGAAATACTAAATACCATATGACACCTCCCATTTGAGTGAGCAAAGTACGAACAAAGAAAATGATATAGGAGGGATAGAAAGGGATAAGGGGACAGATCTTTTGCAGTGGGGCAGTTGTCCAAGGGAACCAGGGCATGGGCTGAAGAGGAGGGGAAGGGGAAATGAGAGGAATAAAGATGCGTCATGTACAGGAACCCAGGACCCTCAGTTAATGGACACCTTATACACCCTAAGCTGAGCCAAGACAAGCGAATCAGCAAGTAGGGTAAAGGTGGGTGGGAACCATGGGGTCGAGCAGGGAAGGGAAGGGGATTAATAAAGGAAACAACCTGCAATATGTGCACGTGACCACTCCCAAGATGACTGGAAACTGCATGAACTACAAACATGTACTAATAATAAATATATACAGTTCAAAAAAGTTTACAAAAAGAATTTGGAGTTTCTGGGGCTACAATGAATATTTTGATGCTTAAGTTTGGAACCAAAGAATTTATAAATTAAAACAAAGAAGGACAATAAGGATTTTGATTCCCCAATCTTCACTTGCTTCTTCTCTATCAATTCCCTCTAACTTTTTTGCTTGTTTTCTCCCTCTTATTCCCTCCATGCCCATTGCACTGAACTTCCTGGTTCGCCCAATACCTCATATTGAGTGATGATTCCATTGGGATCCAAAGGTTCTTTCCAGTTCAAGAAGATCTTGTTTTCAAAGGATGTTCCTTGGAGAGATTTGGCCGGGACAGGGCCGGGCACTACAAACACATATATTCGGGGTTATAAGAATGCGTACGTCACATAGGAAAAGTAAATGAAGTAAACTAGATAAGCAATTCATACTGCATATGTAAAAATATACATATGAACTAAAACAAATAAGAAAATGACCTTCAAAAGGCAGTATTCTGACTTGACTCTGACATATGGGAACTTGAAGTCAGTCTTTAAGTTCTTAAAGCAGAAAACGTAGAAATAGTCGTTTCTATTCAAAAGGATATTCTACCACCTTAGAGAGCTGCATAAATTATGTAGTCTAGTTTTCTCTGTTGTATACCTTTCATCACAGGAAGATTTTATTTGTAATTTGTTTTCAAGAACAGAGATGTATCACCCTGAAAGATTTTTTGAAGATAGGATAATCCCCACAAGAGTCTCCATGAACAGAGTTCATAAAATAATGAATTATAGTAATTAACACTCCTTAAGCTCAAAAGCCAAATCACACAGTACTGGATTGAAATTCCCCTTAATAATCATCCTGACTTTTATAGCTGTACATATTAAATTTTCAATAATCAAAAACCAGCACTATGATAGTCTTAAAAATTATTAATGATTAGTAGGTGTCAATGTCATCGTTTCAGTCTTTTAAATGAAATATATTTTTCTTTTTTCTGCAATTAAAACTCAAATTATTCAGCTTGTTTAGACTCAATGATCTGTGCACTATGAGCTTTTCTTGCTTTTGTTTGGTGGTGCTGGGGAGAGAACTCAAGGGTCCTTCTGTTCTAGGCAACTGCTCTACCACCGTGCTACACCCTGTCCCTTCAGCACTACGTGCTTCTGAAGTGTCCACAGGTGACCAGGTTTGCGGAGCCCACACTCCGGTCCTTAACTTTGAATGTCCTTTAATTTGAGACATATGGGGCAGTGCCGAGCAGCATGTTAGCTCATCTTGGCAAAATACAAGACACTATTACATATTCCATTTAAATATCTACCTGCTATTTGTCACACACATTTTGAAATGCTCGTTCTGATCGTGTTTTACAACATAGACTGTCGGTTGTACTTGGCTTAAATACTTACATCCTTTTGAAAATAGCAACCCACTATTTGGCGCTGATGGTTTCTAATTAATATTTTCTCTTCATCTAACGTTTCAGTGAACTTCACACATGACATTATCCAGAAATGTGGTTTCAAAGGATAGGGCAATTTTGTGAGGATCGAAAGAAATTAAAAATCACCAGATCAAAGGAAATGCTTGCTTCATGGCTAGCAGCACCAGGAAATTCAGAATGAGATGCCACAATAGGAAGATGTATTTCAGTCTACAAGGAGACTAAGAATAACGTTATGACCTCTGAGACAGCCAATTTACGTATTCAGCCTATCAAAGCAGAGTGGCTGGGACAGCCATTCAGTGAGGATGAGGTGGCTATTGGTCTACTTTCCAAGGGAAGAGCTGCTGCTTCTATTCTTCTCAAGTGACACAGCTTATGCTTGTAATTAAAGAAAAAAGTATTTCTTGTTTGCTGCATTTCTCTCAGAGAAGGCGGCAGATGGAGGGAGGCGGAGGCAATAACCTCAAAGAGCGAGCAAATGTTTATTTGATGGCATGATTCTAACTGCCTGTGTTCACCCACCACAATCAGGCCTATAAATGCACTATCAAAGGACATCGATGTATGTCTAATTGTTCCCAATTCGAGATGGCTTAAAATTCTTGCATAGTTCCTCTCTGCAAGAGAAATAGAACTGAAAAGTAACTGCCTTAGAATTTCTGTATGTCTATGTCCTTCCCACATGTGTTCAGCTTTCTCAATAGAATTTATGTCAGGGAGCGCAGGTCACACTTCTGTGTGGGAAAATGATAGACACAGAAGGGCCATAGTATTGATCTTTGCTCGGAGTAGAGTAATGGGTGGAATAAACAACTACACTTCAGTGAGCTGCAGCACACACATAAGTAGGTGTGGATGAGATGTGGGCAAGACCGAGTATCTTCATTAATTGTCTGCATTTGAAGGAGACGAGGTCTATCTGTACAGCGGTGATGCCTCTATCTACTTATGATTTGTGGGAACATGGCTCAAAGTTACCGAAGCTACTTCACAACAGCCTACAGACTGCAGGGATCTGTCACTTCACATTTCCACACCAACAACTGCTAATGGAGACAGAATGCTGACCTTTGCTCCCCTACTCATGATTTCGATGAGAGCTGTTTCAGCTAATTTTTTTGAGCATTAGAAAGTCATCTAAAATGTAACTCTCCAAATGGAAAAGAAAGGACGAAAGGAAATGTAGGTGGGGCAAGATTACATTAAATAAGCATTATAGTCTTTAAAATGTAATAAATGTACGTTTAAAAATAATTTTGCATTCTCAAATAATGTCCCCAAGACCAGCTTCTCTGCTGAACTAACTTCATAATATTGATTTTTTTGAATGCTGGAATAAAAAAATGACAACGAAACCTCATATAAAAAATTCTTCCCATGCATTAAAAAATGTGTGCAATAAATTAAATACAAATTCTACCTTAGGGCTCTGGAGGGAAATCATTCTAGCTTTGCTGTCATGATTTATGGATGTCGCCAGAATTCTTTTCATATAATTATATCCTTTTATTAGATGACTGATAATTTATTCTTTTCCTATGTATATAGGGCAGTAATAATTTAGTAAGACTGATTTAATCAGATCACTGTAATCCATCGATCATTGCAACAATGGTTATGATTTAGATATGCTTTTCCCCTTGGAGACATTAAGACACATCAAGTATTCTTCCTTGAAAGTGAAGCTCATATGGACAGATCTGAAGACTCAGTTACTTACAAATATTTCAAACAAGTTTATACATCAATCATCAAATACTACACATTAAAAACCTACTCACAGTAGAAGGGATTAGATTGTGACCCTACCATGAAATAATAATAGTGCAACTTAATATCATTAATACCAGGACAAGTTCTTCAAAGCAGAAGTTAAGAATAAAACTCTGCCTGAAAATAATAATAGAATCTGAACCTATAGCTAATGTTGTTTTACTTGTACAAAGCTATTTCTGGCTAAAGTAAATATGACAGTCATGAATTGATTCAATTTGTGGTAAAATTCCATAGAGATTAATTTTCTGACTATTAGCATAGTCATGTGTTTACCCAAAAATGCGATTAAAAGATTCACTGCAACATGAAAAGGATGAAAAAAGCATGATTGCCTTCTTTTGTTTGTAGGGAAGTGAACTAACAAAACATATCAAAGAATACTGTCAAGATAAATTGTACTGTTAAAAGGTGATTGGCCAAGAAAGCACAAACCTCATACCCGAGTCCAAAGTTACCTGTTAAGAACTCAGGCTTTGAAATTATAAGCAAAGAGAATAAAATATGTGCGTACACGTTTATTAATAACAGCATGAGCTACAAGATGCGCAGTGTAACTGGGGCATTGGAACACTTATCTTACTTTATAAGAGCTACAGATACTTTGAATTTGCATTTATACAGAGAATTTGCATTTATATTTAGACTTACCATTTCTATTGTCCATCTATGAACTGATTACCCTTAACCATCTCTTTTGTATAAACAACTATTGACCTGTGAGTGTGATGAGCAGTCCAGATGGCGAAAGTGTATGATTTATGTTTCTGTACTAGGATAAGGTTTGTATGTAAATACTGCTGCCACATTAGTTAGGAAAAGCTCAAATATGCTAGTAGAAATAGTCATGTTTGAGTTCCTCAAACATATCAAAAATACATTAACTAATGATGAGTCTTATGCTCGCTTTGGGAAACTTTAGTAACACGAGAATGCTAACACACGTAGTTTTAGGACCACATCAAGTGTTTCCTTCAAAGTCTGAGCAAAATGAAGTGGAAATGGTCTCACTTCAGCTTATTACAAGGAAGCAGCAGAAAAAACCTGAGTCATTTCCACTTTTTAAAGTAGGAGAAATTGAAATAATATGCGACATTTGTGGAAACTGTGGCATATGAACCTATTTTGTGGCAATCCTACACTTGATGGGCCCCAAAAGACTTATCTAAGCCTGACATTTGGAACAGGAGGGCTGTTGGGATGGAAATGTAGAGATCACTTGGTTTAACTCCTTCATTTAGAGATGAGCACGAGAGCGTTACAAAGGTGAAAGGACGCTGAGGCTGTGGAACGAGTGAAGCCGGGACTTCACACTCAGGACTCTGCCTCCCTTTAGCTTTGCCTCAGCTCACTCTAGCAGCCCTTTTTTTTTTTGGCCACATGATTCCATTTATAAGAGAAAAAAAATGAAATGTATTATACTGAAAGAATGCAGTATTGTTATCATTAGAATATTATTGTTTAGTTTTTGTATCTGTTTTTATTGAATCAGGAAATAAACTCATATTCACATTAATGATGTACTGTACTACTAAAATAAGTGTGTGCACATTACAATTTAATATAAACATTTGTTCTTATTATATTTTGATCTTTCAGAAGGAGCACATGGAACCTGGACAAAATACAGTGCAGTTACTTAGAAATACGACGTGTAAATGATGGTAGCCCGCTAATACCTAACATAGCTTTGTATTTAGACTTAAAGATATGAACTGGTTCATATTCAGATTCCTATGAACCATCTAAAAGTGACTGAAACAAGTGAACAATTATTTTCAAATGCTGTGAATACAAAAGCAACTATGATAGGTTTGTAAAATGCCAAAATCTAAAGTTTTCCAGTAGGTAAGTGATATAATGACATGGATAGTGATAATCAGTTTTTCACATTGGGTAAGAAAAACTTTATTTACACTTTTGGGGTGGTTGTCGTTTTTATATCACTGCTTAAAAAAGAACATAGAGAGGTATAGTTCATTTAGTTTGAAGATTCTTTTTTAAAGAACAGTTTGCTAAAAGCAAAATTCTTTCCAAAGTGTGTTGAAACACTTCAGCAGATTTTAGAATCAAATACAATACCGAGTAATCTAGGAAAAATTAAGAAATTCTATTTTGTTATATAGGTCTCCCTTTTCAAAATAACAAAACCTAAGCATACCATCCTCATCAGTTTGAATAACTGTCTCTTCACTCTCCTTCCTTCCTTCCGGATTGGTCAGGATCATCTTGAGGCTGACGTTTGTGTAAGGCGGCAGATGGTCCACAACATGCTGAGGGGCTTTGGGATCCATGTCCAAGCAGTCTGCCTTGCTCTCGTTGTGACCACGAAAATAATGGTAGCAGATAGTGACATTAAAAGTGTGGCAACGAGTAATATTGTAACCTAAGGATTCCCAGTCCACAGCAATACGTCTTGCCTGGATTTCGGCTATCTTTAAAGTCTTTGGCGTCCGCATAGGTTCTGAAAAATCAATCAAAGTTGCAGAGAGTAGTCAGTTTTACCACGAATGATCTTGGAAATATAAAACACTGAGCGTATTACAGCTGAGGCAAATCCAGGAAAATGTGGAAATTATCTTTCACTTTAATTTTATTTATTCATGGTTTTATTTTTGAAAATTTCTATCAGTTTTACAATTTACCAGTGAGAAAAGAAATAATATGCAAAATAACTATCCATGGTGCTCAGAAACTTGGCAGCAAAATAAGAACCAACAAATGTAGCTGTAATGTCTTGATAGTTGACACTGCTGTTCACATCCAGTTCTCCCTCTTTCTCCTCTTTTGTCATTATTGAGCAAGTGAATTAGCTAATATATCATAATGGATAAGAGTCAGCTTGTTCTGCTCTATGATTTGTCATGTCACTGAGCTATAGTGTATACTAATTAGTCTAATTGTAACACTAAACTACCATTTACAAAAAATGACATGGATATTAATTAGCATTAATTATTTCAGTAATGATGTTATTCATCAAAGCCAAAACAAAAATCAGAGACAATTCCAAGAACACATGTGGATATGTACATTGTCTTCTTCTCTTCTTGATCTCTTTTTGAATTTTTCTAGAAATCACTCAGCTCTAACAATACATTTTCTGTCACCCAAACCAAACAGGGAGGTACATTTTCATTCAACTGGAAAATGCTGGCATCATGGAACACTTGGATGACTGGGGTCCATCCATCAATGACTCCCATGTGTATTCTTTCCTCATGCAAGAATAACTTTAATCTTCTAACTTAATCAAAATGATTACTGTATGAATGTCATGGCCATAGCAAAGTCCACAGAGTAAGGAGACCAATAGACAGCAAAGCTTTAACACACTGATCTGACAAAAATAGAGACACCAAGGCCAACATCAAGGGCTTGCAGGGGCCTCCTTTAACTCACTAAGGATAATCAATAATCATGTAAATGGAAATCAACAGGGAAAAAAGAAAAACAAGTAGAAAACAATTCCATATTGGGTGTTTTTATGCATTTTTATTTTTGAGATTAAAATCTCAGTTCTGTAAAAGTAGTCAGCATGCTATACAGATGGTTAACCCAAATTAGGTATCCAGTTCAGTGTATTTAATGTGCGATCTGAAATAAACTCTGGTGGCCATTTAATTCAAAAGCTCAAAACTACAAAAATCTGTTTCCAGAAATGCAAGTTAACCTTTGGGAGAATGTAATGTTTAGCTTTTAAATGTTATTTACCAATTTTAGGACTACTTATAATATCCAGCCTTAATCTCTTATCACTTTTATTTTGTATGCTACCTTCAGTTTGTGGATAGCCTGGAAGAAATAGGACTTTTGTTAAATTGCCTTATCTATCTTTATGCTAACGTTTTCCTTACCAGGTGCAAGAGTGAAGTGGTGATAGTTCCAATTTAGACCACTTCGTTGAAGATCCTGTCTTTGGCACTGCTGTTCATCAGCCGGACAGGTAGTTATAATAAGAACAACCCTACACTTTCCCAGAAAATACTGACTTTGGTGCCAGTAGATTGCAAGCAGATTCTATTCCGTGGCCTCATTCAGATTGAGTCAGACTTTGTTCTAAAAGTATTCAGAATAAGAAAGTAGCATTTCCCTCTAAGACTATCTGTAGTATATAAACGAGTAGCTTCAATACTGAAATGGCAAAATATATCAATAAATATTTACTATTTATGTAGCATTTTGGGGGCTACTATTTATGTAATGATTTCCACTGACCCCTCATTTTTAATCTGACTTTTTCCCTTTCTATAAAATTCTCCATTTCTGAGTCTTTCATCAGCCTTTCAATTTTGTTTCACTATTAAATTTGCATTTATTCCATAGTTTGATACAATTTTCAAAGACAAGGTAGTTCTTCTTCCTTAACTCTTGCATATTAAAGAGTCAGCAAAAGGTACATTTACTGCCAGTTATGTAAAAAATCCATAAGGCTCATCCTAGAATTTTGTATATTTAAATGTTTCTTACTTTGTCATTAAGGCTCAAAGAATCTTTGACAAGGTTACTGTTACTTATAATTCATACTTATTTCAGTGAATTAAACAAATGAGCAGTGTCTTGTTGAAAAAATAGACTTAAACATGATTCCACTCATATGACAATATTTACAGACATAAACACAAAGTTAAACTCCTGTGGAATAGAGAGGATTAAGAGTTACTGTCTATTTGCATTTTCTTATCATTGGCACATGTCTTTTTAACTTTTTTCAGCCTTTACTGAGGAAAGACCTTCTCGAGTGTGTGTGCATGCTCACGTGCATACATCTCACACACATATGAGCATAAACATATACACACACGATAACACTGCTGGGCAACCTCTCAGAACCCTATTAGACTTGACATAGGTTGACAAATGCACACTCATAGATAGCACTGACTTGAGAGAGTTCTATTCTATGACATCTACTGAAAGTAAATGTCATCAAAGGACTCAACAATAAATTTCCCTAAATATCTCACCCTAACACATTATTTCTAGTGTTACTGCATTGTATTTCTGAGGTAGCACTACATAAATACAAAATTTTAAACTTTAGGTCACAATAATTACTTGAATCGTGACAGAATCACTGCACCCGAGAGACACTGTGGGGATACGCTATCTAAGAGCCAGGCACGGGAGTATTTTGAGAGCTGAATACTTTAAAGAAATGACTGAGCAGGATGAAGGGCACATTAAGAGACTGCAGTAAATAATCTTTACAACAACAATAATGCAAATCATTGTAGAGATGGTATATGATGGGGATCATATTCATCCATGCAATACCAGTCAACTGTTGCAGAATTAGCCACATTTGTCTCTTTAAGCTTCTGACTTTAACATCTTTATTAAGTGCTTTATATATGTGAATTTATATAACAATTCTCTTTTACTTTGCTGCCAAAAAGAAGCTTGGTGAAGAAGAATGAAATGGAAATATTAAAGGACATAATTTTATAAGGAACTTGAGGGAAACTGCAGTGGAACAAACAACACAGCAAATGGCCATATTAAATGTTGAGATGAAGGTGTCCATCATTATGAAACAAAATAGGCTGCCCATTCGCACTAACTACAGTGGATGATACTACAGTGAGTAAGACCTAACAGCAGACTGAAGGAGCTTACCGTTTATTTATTAAAGGTGATAAAACAAGAACAAAAAAAAAAATCAGCAAGTATATATGCAAGTGACATATGAATGGAATAAAATAGGAATACAGAGGGGGAAATAGATTTCACCTGTCAATTGGAAGAGACGTTTACTATTAACTCTCAGTCTACAGAGCTAAGATCTGTAGATAAAGTTTGGATAAATAATACAAAAGCGGAGGAAACAAAATGAATAAAAATGCAATGGACAACTGGAAAGAAAGCATACACTCACATTTGGCTGCAGTAAATATGTCTGGGAAAAGGCGGTGCAGGAAAGATAGGTCGATAAAACACTGAATAAACTTTGGATGTCATGGTAGGAGGTTGAGCCTGATCTCACAGACTTTGGGAAGTCACTGAGAGTTCCTCAGCCAGGAAATCAGCACAGTCAACTGCTTTAGAAAGACCAATCTGTGGGCTGGGTTGAGTGTGGAGATGCTGAGAAGAATTCTCAGGACTGCAGTGTGCGAGGGGAGAAGCAGGCTTGCAGGGAGGGGACAGTGGGAACCAACAGCACGGCTGTGGTGGGGGGAAACAGCAGAAAAGCGGGATGGCAACGTGGATTTGAGATATGTGAAAGGCTAAGACACAGCCAGTGTGTTCGGACTGAATGGCAAAGAGAATTATGGCTTCCTTAAATGAAAGAAAAAATTCAAGAAGGGACACAGACCAAGGTAGAACGATATAGTAATTTGATATCATTTACTCAGGACGTATACTAGGAACTAAGAAAATAAAGATCCATTTAAACATGTCCCGGTCTAAGGTGCAAAGCAAATAAGCAGTACTTGAATGGATCTGTTTAAGTAACTTGGGGAGCACTCTGAAGAAAAAACAATCCAAACGGAGACATCAGTCTCCCTCAGGCAGGGGACGGGATAACCCTGCCCTTCCAAAGCAGAAGGAAGAGGTGGAGACAAGAAAAGAGGGAGAGGAGAGAAGGAGAACAGAAGGCAAGAGAGAAACGGAGGCATGACCTCTAACCACATGCCAACTCGAGCGGACTAAAATATGCCCAGCAAGGGGCTGGGGATTTAGCTCAGCGGCACAGCGCCTGCCTGGCAAGCGTGAGGTCGTGAGTTCGATTCCCCGTACTGGAAAAACAAAAACAAATAAAATACTCCCAGCAGATGGGTAAAGCAGCATTCTGGGCAGGTCTACGGATGACTGACAGACAGGCCAGGAAACTGAAGGAAGACTCACCCTAGATGTGGACGGCACCAAGCAAAAGGCTTGCAGCCTGGACAGGGTAACAAGGTAAAGAAGAAGGAAGTGCTGGGTGTGGTGGTGCACGCCTGTAATCCCAGCACTTGGGAGGCTGAGGCAGGAGGACCGTTGTGAGTTAAGAGACCAGCCTGGGCTACAAAGTGAGCTCAAGGCCAGCCTGAACTGCACAGCGAGACCTTGTCTCAAAAAGAGAAAAAAAAAAAAAAAAAAAAAAAGAAGGACGTGTTTCCACATATTTTAGTTTTCCAACCAGACTTGCACCAGTGAGTCTACAGTGAGCTCCCAGGGCTTCCACTGGCCTGCAGCTGCATGCTGCACCCCTCTTGCTCTGCAGCTTCCATTGTCCTGTGCAGGGCAGCTGCTGGATCCCATGGTTCTCCAGGGCACACAGGGACACTGTGACCTCTCCCTCCTCAGACCCGGGAAACCCACCTGAGAAAGCCCCTTGTAGAACTATACACCTAGTTTCTATCGACTTAGTTCCTCTAGAAAACCCTCACTAATGTAGGAGCGAGGAGAATGGTGGGAAAGAAGAGGGAGAGAGAGAAAGAGAGACAGAGCCAGACAGCAAGCAGGTGAGCCACAAGTGAA